GGGCAGCTCACAATTAAAGTAAAACCCGAAAACAGTTAAAAATATAAATATCCACATTAATGAGTTAAAAAGTCAAACTATATAAAAAGATCATATACCTAAAAAAGGCTAAAAACATTCAAGATGACACGGGGGTAGAAGCAATTACCCCACAAGCCAATTCCAGTGGTGCAAGCCCCCATCCGGCCACCTGGCATAGCCAAGATTTCGCACTCTTCCTGATAATATAAACGGATGAAGCAGATCCCCAAGTTGCATGGCTTAAGCATAATAAAATCCCCTGGTTAATAATTTTGCCCAGGCACCAGATCAAGTAGGGTCTCTCTCTGCCTGCAGAGCCATCGTTCCCCGTATCAGGGCTGGCCCCAGCTGTGGATTCTTCAACATCCTTCTGGTGTGTTCTATTGACCCGTGTTAGAAATAGATTGGTGCTTTTGTGCCGGAGGGTTTGGGATTTGATTTCCCCCATTAGAAATTAGACAGGAGAATTTCTGCTGAATCTGAATTCTGAAAGGGAACCTGTGCGTTTTCCTCTCCTCTCCCTTTCACAGGATATTAACTTGAAAATGCCCAGAAATAACCAACTGGTGCACTTTGCTTTCCGGGATGATAAACAATGGAAACTACAGCAGGTACGTTGAACACCCTCGTACTTGGTGGATTTCTCTTCCCATTGAAAGGAATCGGGGGACGTTGTTTCTTGGGAGTGAAAAAACGAGAGAAAACAGAACATGTGAAGCTTCCAGCTTTTTCCCCAAATTATTCTATGGCTCTCTCCCCAATGCTTTCTCAACTCTCTACTGCAAGAACCGAATGCCGTGATACATTTTTTTTTGTTTTAAACCAGTGATGGGAAAATGGAGCTCTGTGTTTGAATTATCTGCATCAGTGAAAAGGAGATCAAGGTTAGACCTACAAGTTGTAGGAACCACAGAGTTTTAGACTGTCTAGTAAGCAAACTGCAGAGACCTCAGCATGTAGGGAAGTGTTGACACAACACCTCCTGGCTTCTTCTCCTGGGCATAACAGATACGTTGATTTGTTTCCAAATCAGCCGGAGGGCAGCTCTATCCTGCTTCAGTGGCCTCTAACCTCATAAAAACTGCCTATATTGGTTGGGAACACTTAGGCTTTAGTTTTGGAGAAAGTTATCCTGGTCAAAAGGATGCAGTTTTAGTCCTTGAGAATATATAAGCCATACTTCAGGGTTGTTAAGTTTAGAATCCAGACAAGAGAGAAGGGCTTGGAATCCTCTTTTCTCCATGCTTAATACATTTGCTAATCCTGTTTGGTTTTTCTCTTTCAGATTCAGGATGCCAGGAATCACGTCAACCAAGCAGTCTACCTGCTTACCAACCGGAGTGCCAATTATCAGTTCAAGACAGGATGCGAGGTTCTCAAGGTGAGCCAAGGGTCCTGCTTCCCACTGCACAATCCAGAATTGGACTTGCACCCGTTATCTTTCAAACCATCAGTCTTTCAGATGAGAGAATGTTTTAGCTGTTCTGAAACCCAGTTTATGATGTATCGTGTCCCAAATACAGTTTTCTGCATTTTGTCATCAAGGTCCTACGGCAGATGGATCAAGAAGGACCTCTGCTAGATGCTTTCTAAAACTGCCGCTGGAGTACAAGACTAGATGAGATTATTGATTGCTTAAGACAGAACTCCTTGGTAACAACATTGTACTGCCACCTCAATCTTGGCAAAGTTTCTGGTCAGCAGAGTCAGGGTTGGTGGAGGAGGTTCACAAACAACCTCAGCTGAGATCTTTGCAATGTTGTGAGTCTGGATCAACTCCCTGATGCTCTTCTTGTTCCTGTTCAATATCCAGTTCTCACCCACAAAGAAAGTCCTGAGTGCCATGATAAAAGTTGGGTGAGTGGCCTAACAACAACAACATCTAGGCCAGTGTTTCTCAACCTCAGCAACTTTTAAGATGTGTGGACTTCAACTCCCAGAATTCCCCAGCC